GGGCCTCATTGGGTTCCTCTTGAGTGGGACCCTCTGTGCTTCCTGGACTTGTGTGACTTTTTCTCTCCTCCAATTAGGGAAGTTTTCCATCATTACTTTTTCAAACAGGTTCTCTATCCCTTCCTCATCCTCTTCTCCTTCTGGTATCCCTATTATACGGATACTATTACGTTTCAGGTTGTCCTGGATTTCCCTCAACGCCTCTTCATTCTTTTTGAGTCTTTTTTCATTTTCTTGCTCTTTCTGGGAGCTTTCTTCCATCTTATCCTCCAGTTCACTGATTCATTCCTCTGCTTCACCTAGCCTGCTTCTGATGCCTTCTACTGTGTTCTTCAATTCAGAAATTGTATTCTTCATTTCCTCTTGTCTCTTATTGATAGTTTCTATGTACTTTTTCATGCTGATATAGTTTGCAGTAAGTTCCTTGTAGTTTCCGTGTAGTTTTTTGTAATTCTCTCTGAGCTCACTGAGCTCATTGAGCTTCCTTAGAACCGCTGTTTGGAACTCAATATGTGATAGTTTACTTGCCTCTGTTTCATTTATTTCTCTTTCTGGGGATTCTCCCTTTCCCTTCGACTGGGGGGTGCTTCTTTGTCTTCCCATTATTTGTGAGATGATTCTTTTTTGCTTCTGCTTCTTAAATTGATCTGTCTTCATTTCCTGACTTTGTGGTGTGAACTTCTATGGTTGGAGACCGCTGTTTTATTTCTTTTTGAATCTGCCTCTCATGATGTCAGATGTTGACCCTGTCTGACCTTAGGCACTCTGTTCGAGACTTCCCGGAATCTGCTGTCTGTGGCTGTCTCCTTCAGCTGTTAATCTGGTCACTCTGGACTTAGCAGGCAGGCTTAGACACCACAGTGTGGGCAGTCCCTTCTGGGGGTGGGGCTACTGTGCTCTCATGCTGTTGCTGCTCAGGGGAGTGGTCTGCCTGAGCCAGATGGCTGCTGCCCTATTGGGGATGACTCAGCACCGGGATCCTGCCGGCTACCCTCTCAGTTCTCTCCCCAAAGCCTCCGTTCACATTCTCTTCTCAGGCGTTTCTAGCCCACTCTGCCCCCATCTTTGCCAGAGACCAGGCTCTGCAAATAAGTGGCTGCAAATAAAAATTTATACGTTGGCCCTTGGAACAGATCTTTGCATCTCCAGCCGCCTGTCTCTGGCAGAGAGCAACCCTGCCGCTTTTTGCAGCTGGTTGTTTTCTGTGTACTTTTAGGGCTCTGGTGCTGTGGGCTAGAGATCCCCGCTCCTGGTTTAGACCCCTCTCTTCTCAGGGGGATCCAACTGGCCGTTTCAGTATCCTTCCGGTGCTGCCGCCTGTGGGCACCTGGCCCACCTTCTCGAGTTTCTACCTCACTCCTTACCAGTCAGGTTGTGCTAAAGCTGATTCTTCTGTCTGTCTGAGGTTACAAGGCTCCTCTCTAGCTATTGTTCAGTTGTTTGTTCTGGGTGATTTCTCCACAATTTAGTTGTAATTACAGATTGGCCCTGGGAGGTGGTCCGTGTGACTTGCACTCACTCTTCCACTATCTTCATTCACTCATATTTTTATCTCAAATATATTTACCATGCTTATTTTAATTTTGGTCAATCTTTTCCAGTAATTCTCTATCAGAAAGTATGTTATTAACTTAGTTGTCTTTCTTTGAAAGTAATTGTAGTAGTCAGGTGACTAGTTTGGGTTTAAACTACTGTTCTTCTGGAATATCAGCCACTTTGGTAATATGTATGGTCACCAGACGCTAACTGTATCCAATCTGGTGAATATAAGAAGAGAAAATGAGCCCCAAAGCAAAGAGCCCCAGGGATCTCAGAACTTCTGTTGTGAATTCCAATTGCTGGGCACTCTACTGGCAACCCCTCTAGTCTGGGTTTCACATTTAAACTCTTAGGGAGAAGCAGCACTGGACACAGAAGTCTTCAAGAAGTTTGGAGGGAATCAGAAGAAGAGGTAGAAAGGTGATCCCCTAAGGGCAGTTAGGCCAAATGTGTTCACCTTAATGCCATCAGAACCCCAGCAAACCTTTGAATTGAACATGCTGGCCTAGGCCAATGCTGCTCATTTCTGTGGTGAATGGACAGGAAATGACAGTTTTAAGGCAATACCAGTGAGAAATAAGAATGAAACTTAGCCTTCTTCCAATCTATTTGTCACTGCTACCTGTCGCTGTCCTTAGTCGCAGGCTGCAGCCACCACACCCCACTCACTCAAACACACAGAGAGGTTCAAGAGAGCCTTGGTCTCCCTACTTTTTCCTCTCACTCCTCTAGTTTATTTAGAGTTGATTTGAGGTGAGGGAATCAATAACTGGGACTAGTTTGACAAAAAGTGGAAACGAGCCTAGAAACTATTTTCTTCATCAAAGGTATAAAAATTTTGCTCAATTTCAACCACTCCTAATCCAGTTCAGAAATCTGAGGCAAGCAGATGAATTAAAAGTTAATATTTAATAGAATATCTTACCACCAAAAAGTTGCACTGAGGCATCTAATTTAGGGAGTAATGATAAGTATTTACTAATTCTATCATGGATACTAATTATCTCTAGCTTCACACCTTTGGAAACATACTTTATTTTTTCTAACTTTGTATCAACCTTGGACTTATAAAGTTCTCTGTGTAAACTTTTGGATGAAATTTTTAAAAATCATCTATAGTTCCTTTGCTCACCAAGACTTCTGACCCCTAAGTGTCTTTAAGCACAATTCTCCAGTCGTCTGCTAAGGATAAAAGACCATGACAGATACTTCCAGGACACACATCGTTCAGCTGCCCCTCGTATGTCTTGATAGGGGACCAAACCCACAACCTAGGCATGTGCCCTGACCGGGAATCGAACGTGCAATATTCTGGTTTATAGGACAATGATCCAACCAACTGACCCACACTAGCCATGGCAAAGCTCTCTGTATTTTAAAGATCCTGTCCATATCTCAGCTATGTGTTACAAATATTTTCTGCCAGTCTAACATTTGTATTTCACCTTTACTGAAAAGATTGTATCTATGTAATTTTTTAATGTCTATGTTGTCAAAATTTATTAGTTTTTGCTTGACATGCTATTTTCTGTTTTTCCTAAGATAATCTCTCTCATCAAAGATAATAAACACTATTTCACTCTTTTATTCTTTACTTTTCCACTCTTAGACCTTTGGTCTGAAGTAGAGATCTAACTTTATTTTCTTCTACTTGAAAATCTTTCACCCTATGAACTGAATTACCATTTTGATACTATTTGCAATTTCCATCATTACTGTAACAGTTGTATTTTATTCTTTTCTATTGCCTATTTATGAGCCAGCACCATGCTGTTTTCATTAGGGAAGGCTTGTTGTAACTGTTAGTATCTTGGCTTCCTTACTATTATTTCTTTCTCAGTTTTCTAGAATGTGTCCACTTAGGAGCCCTCTCTTTAGGCACAGATTATAAAATGGAACTCGGTACAAACTGTAAGATGTATGTATTATAACTAAAAAATTTAGTTAATTCAGTTAATAGGCAGAGTTTCAATTAAATTTCATACAATGTATAAAAATAAAAGAGGAGGAAATAATCATATGGACAAATGCAACTGACATTTATGGTGGACACTATGCCTGTCATTTGAAGCCAATGACAAGGTACTTTACGTTGAGGGAAACTGAGGCATATGTAGAAAATATGAGGTAATAGTTATGTGAACTCCAAGGCCTGCTCTTTCAATTTTCAGAGATTATGAATCCACCCACAAATTACAATAGAGAATATAAACATTCTACTGCCTTCCCCAGTACAGAACCCCAAAACAGTATGCTCAATTTTTTTAATTCTTACCCAATGATATGTGAGGAAGAGAGGGGAAGGGGAGAGAGAGAGTTAAGAGAATGGTTAGTTGTCTCCTGCATGTACCCTACCCAGGGATCAAACCCACAACCTAGGTAGGTACCATGACTGAGAATTGCACCTACAGCCTTTCGGTACATGGGATGATGCTCCAATTGGCCAGGGCTGCTCCTTGATTCTTAGCCAAAACACATTTGAGTCCTCTGATAACCACTCGAGTAAGAATGTGGCTATTCTATTTCCCAGTCTAAATCCCACAAAATGTACCAAGAGAAATGCTTTCATATAAAATATGAAACAACCCCAAACCATAGATCAAGAAGTAGTCTATCAAGTACAATTTGGGACAAGCTGATGATAAATATCATGAGTCAACGTATACCTCAACATATCCGAGCGCTGTTGGATTTCCCAGAAGTGATGGAGGTTTTAAAGATTTTTATTTAAAACAAAGACAAAAGAAGATGCAGGCAAATCACAGGAAAGAAGGTATACCTGCATACAGAGGAAGGGCAAGGGAAATCAGATAAAAAAGATTATGCGTGCATGCCATGTTCATTTTCTATGACTTCTAAATCAGAAAACCTATAAGGGAAAATGCGGTGATGCTCAGCATTGGCTGAACAGAAGGAAATAAATCATCAAACAGATGACCATGTACATTGAGAGCCACGCTGTACTCCCTTGTCCTGGGTGATCTATTCACTTGAAAGGAGGGGATACCAATGCTTAGGAGATCCATGGTTCTGGATCAGAGAACAGAGAAGTCTTTGTCAGAAAATATTGTGAGAAAAGAAAAGTGTACTGAACTTTCCAAAAGCTCACACTACTACTACTACACATAATAACAATATAGCTCTTACTATAACAATAACAATAAAGCTCTTACTATATTCTGGGCACTATTCTAGGAATTTTGCAAATATTAACTCTTTCAATCTTCAAAACAACCCCAAAACAGTAAGTACTCTTATTATCTCCCTTTTACAGATGAGAAAAATCAGAGAAGTTAATTTCCTATACTTACACAGCTAGTGAATATAAGACCCAGAATTTGAACCCAAGGAGTCTGGTTTAAACCTATTATGCTGTATTGCCTTTCCCATGTTAATGTTAAAAAACTGGTAAACCCATACAGTACGTAGGATTTTTATTTATACAGGAAATATCAACATACCTTGTACTGTAAGTTCTGCTTGAGCTTCAATTGTCTCATTTCCATTATCAGCGATACAAAAATAAGTCCCAGCATCATCCTCAGTGACATCACTGATCTCCAGACTACCACCCGCCAGCAATACCAATCTTTCAGAACTGCATAAAAAAAAATATTGATACATTTCAGAATTGGGAAAATACCTGAAAAATTCTCCACATAAAACAGAGAAAATACTTAAGCAGTATTATTTATATGGCTTTAGATGGACAAAGACTATATAAAATCATTAGAATTTAATTTAGTCCAATTTGCTTTGCTCATATTTTTCATGCACAAATATCACAAATACAAATCAAAATGTTATAATAAATCATCTCTAGCATTTCTAATTATTCCCAAAGGGATATCACTTTTGTGACCAATTCCACTCACCATAGCCCATCACTCTGTCCCTACTGTGCCCAGTGATTTTTGTTTTGTTTTTGCAAATCATGTGATTTTGAAGTCTGGAATTAATCTAAGAGTCACTCCACCACAGCTATGACACAATGAGATGACTAATAGAGAGGGCAAAATGTCAGATCAGAAACAGTAAGTCAGGGGGTCACAATGCCTACTGAGTTTCCTATGGTCTTGGCAAGGAAAGGGAAGAAAGAGGAAGGGAAGGGGGAAGAGAAGGGCAGCTGCCAGAGAGCAGCTCCCTGGGTGTGGTGACTGGACATGAATCAGCCACCATTGTGCCATTATCAACAAGAATGCTGATCATTTCCAACACAACTCTACCATGTGATTTAAGTCCATTTAAAGAGAAAGTAAAACAACCCTGTAACTATGAGGAAGAAATTACAAATCAATATTATGATCAAATTTTTACAAAGTGAATCAGTTTCATTCATTTGAAGAGTTTGGAGAGTTACAATTTTATTTTTATTTTGAGGTTCTACATCTAAACTGGGCAGATGGGCAGATTTTTCTCTCAAATGTTAATACTGTTATATTCTCTGTCTGTATCTATGCTCAACAAGAAATATTCTGATCATTTGGCTTTTCATATAGAATTCCTGATAGTAAAAAAATAAGAGGAAATGACAATTCAGTCTGTGCTGTATTTACAATTCTCATCCTAAGTAAAGTGCTACTCTGGCTTAAATTTTGGTATGCTGTGAGCTTGGGTAGTGTTCCTGAATCTGATAAACAAGATTAAGTTCTGGACAAAGAAAAAGAAAAATCAGAATCAGGTTTGGTAACTTTTTTAAGAAATACTCTGCAAGATGATTACTAAACCTTATTAAGTGGCCTTCCTATTCAAAGTATCTTAACCATGCCCTCAAATCCCAACTTTATGTGATAGAACAGAGAAGACGATTTATAATGGAACAGAGCAAGAATGACTGGAGTAAAATAGACAAGACAAAATAAGAAAAAATTACAAACATTAAAATACTATGTTCTACCCTTGGAGAAAATCACTATTAAGCTTCAGAAACAGAAAACCATGTTCACAAATGGGAAATTAGCAATATATACATGATACCTAGCTGAGAGGAACATAATCTGGAACACTAGTTTGACATCAAGATACAGTATTGATACCTAATAATTACACTAAAAATATTCCTAATACTTGCTATGCATCATATTTGCCATAACTGAGTGCCAGTAGAGCACACATCAATCATTCTTAATGGAGTTGTTTTACTCTCCTTAGACGAAACCTGAAAGGGATAATATCTTCAAGTTGCACACAAAACTGTATAACAGCTTGTTGTAAAATGGCAGTCAAGCCTTTACGATTCCAAATTTCAAAAATTCAGGCAAAAGAAATAATATGTGAGAAATAAAAGTATGTAGAGTCAGTGGACTCAAACTGAGTACAGCTGAACATAAGGACTGTGGCTATGTGTCCCTGAGTAGCTAGGATCAGTCGAGGAAAGCTTGGTGTGCTAAGGAGAACTTTTTTTTTTTTTTGGCAAAGGGGAGAAGGCTTTTAAGCAGATGAGTAACATGATCAGATTTAGTGAAGAAAGACGTGGGAAAAAGACTAGAAGCAGGAAGTTTGGTTGTCAAGTTATTGTAATGGTCTAGAATTAAAGAGAAAGAGATGACCTATGGCAGTAACAACAGAGGTAAACAAAAGGCAAAAAGAATTGTCCACTCTCAAAAAAAGTTGGGTGATGAAAGTAAGGAGAGGGCTTTATTAATTCAGTTAATACATTTATTGGTGTGCCTGTATGTGTCAGGTGGTAGCAAGGGATGCAGCAGTTAACAAACACACAGTCAGTGCTGTCGTGCAACTTGGTGGGAAAGACAGACATAAAAGATGGTAATTCTACAAAATGGTTTATCAGAAGAACATGCCAGGAAATTAGAATAGAATTTTCCTAACCAAAGTAACCCTTGAGCTGTTATCTAATGAATAAGGAGAAACTCACATATGAGGGAGAAAAAATAGTTCAGAAATAAGACTAGCTCATGAAAAGGATCTGGGGCAGAAAAAGTCCAATTGCATTTGGGAATCTGAAAATAACCAGTGTGGCAGGTATGAGAGAGAAAAAAGAGAAAAATGAGAATGGAGCAGACCACACAAGGCTTTGGAAGCTATTTTAAGAATTTGAGTTCTTAACCTAAAAACAGTGGAAATCCATTATACATTTTAAAAAGTGGCTGAGGGATGGGGAGGGGATTTGCCAGTGATGTAGTGAGGTTTGAGCACTGAAAAGACTGATCTGGCAGGAGTGTGAAGATGCATTTGGAATGAGGTCAGAGTATATGTGGGAAGAAAAGTTACGAGATGACTGCAGTAATTGTGGGGACAATTGACAGTAGCTTGGAAGGAGGTAAAATGACAGATCTTGTAGATAGATGAACTGAATAGAGAAGCTGAGGAAGAATTACGTGTCAAAGACGACTTAAATGTGGCAGTGAGTGTGAAGGGGGAAGCAAAAGGACAACTGCTTGTTAAACTCAGGTTTTTTGTGTGTTGTTACTGAGTGGTAGAGAGACACGCCTTAGAGGTAAAAAGAGGAGGAGGCCCTGGAGAGGGAAAATTTTGGGGAAAAAAAATCATAGAAGTGCTGGACAGGATGGATACCAGTAAGACCTAGAGCACAAAAAGGACTTCTTAGACATTCTAAAACAGCAGGGTAGGAAGAGTACATGAGGTCTGTTGAGAAAGTATACAGCCATGTAATATGAAAAATAGAGATTTATTAAAGAAGATATAAGACACAAGAAACATTGTACATAGGATGAGGACTCCCCAGTCCCCGTCTAAGTTATGACCTTCTTGAGGAAACCTGTTTCATTGGTAGATGTTTGAATCAATTCACCAGCAGCTGCAGCACGATGTTCCTTCTACTCTGGTAGCGGAAGCCACAGAATGAATTTTGCCATGACACATTTCGTGCCAAGATCCTATGTCAAAATCTCAGACATAGTAGTTTTTGGAATCCCCCAATCAGCTCCTAGTTCTCGCACTGTCAGTTGCTGATCTTTGTTAATTGCAGCCTGCACACACTCAACATTCTCAGGCGTTCTGCTTGTTGCAAGCCTTCCAGAACGTGGATCACGTTCAACAGATTCTCGAACATCTTTGAAGTGTTTGTGCCACACTTTTATTTGTCCTGCACTCAATGATTGCACTGTCCTCAAGAGCCTTCTGACTCATCCGAATAGTTTCCACAGAGGAATATTCAAGCTTAATGCAGGATCTGATGCACATTTGCTGCTTCACTCAGTTATTTGGAATGCAACAGCCATGCAGCACACATGTTCACCCAATGGCGTCTCTGCCCTCCCCCCACTGACTAGTACAGTGAAGCTGTCATTGTTTACACATGTGCATTCCAGTCCTGTTTCCTAGGCTGCCAGGTTACATCAATGTCATGCAAACAATTCTCACTATATTAACAATGGCTGGACTTTTTCCAGACAGACCTTGTCTTATATATTCTCTGGTACAAAATTTATTGTCATTTTTTCTTTAAACTTTTTGAGATAATTAAGGGTTCACATGCAGTTCTAAGAAATATTATAGAGAGATACTATGTGCCTTTTACCCAGTTTCCTCCAGTGGTAACATCTTATAAATCTCTAGTACAGTATGTCGACCAGGATATTGACATCTCCATCACCACTACCGCATACTGCACTTTTATAGCCTTACCTACTTCCCTTCCACTCCCACCTCCTCATTAACCCCTGGCAAGCACTAATCGGTCTCCAATTCAGTAATTTTTTCATTTCAAAAAGAATGTTACAGAAATAGAATCACACAATATGTAACCTTTGGGGACTGACTTTTTGTAACTAAGCATAATTCTCTGAAGATTCATCCAAGTTGCTGGACAGATCAATAGTTAATTCCTTTTATTGCTTAGCAAGTAATTTTACAGTATGGAGATACCACAGTTGGTTTAGCCATTCACTCAATATAGGCCATGTGAGTGGTTTCCAGTTTGATGCTATTATGAATAAAATTACTATAAATATATATGGACAGGTTTTTGTGTCAATTGTAAGTTCATTTCTACGGGATAAAAGCCCAAGTTCATTTCCATGGGATAAAAGCCGAAGCGTGTAAATGGTAGGTCATATGGCAGTTGCACATAGTTTGTTTTAAGAAACCGCCCAACAGGTTTTCAGAGTGGCTGTACCATTTCACATTCCCAACAGCAATATCAAAGTGATCCAGTTTCTTCAAAACCTTGACAGTAACTGGTGTTATCAGTTAAAAAACACTTTTTAGCTATACTGATATGTAATATTGTGCTCATTGTGGATTTAATTTAGTTGTCTTAATATGAATTTCTGTAATGGTTAGTAAATGTTAAACAACTTTTCTTGTGTTTATTTGTCATCTATATATCTTTGTTAGTGAAACATCTATTCATGCCTTTGCCCACTGTCTAACTGGATTATATGCCTTTTTAATGTTGAATTTTGAAATATCCTTTACACATTTTTTAGAATATACTAAAATTTTAATAATCATGAATAGTGTGATTATACCTGATATTTACATTCATTTTTTTTCATTTTTTGTTTTATTGTTTATGGTATTACAGATGTCCCAGTTTTCCCCCCTTTGCCTCCCTCCACCCACCTCGCCCCCTACTTCCATAGTCAATCCCCACACCCTTGGCCATGTCCATGA